CTCAAGATCCTGAATGCCCAGGATCTGCCTAATCGTAGGGATGAGATCCCTACAAAGGGTATACTCGCAAGTAGCCCTAACAGTGGCGGCAATGCAAGAAACTGTGAGGGAAGAACTTGCCAGCCTGCATAGGGGTTCCCATTGGGAGTATAGGTGCCCAGCCCCCACCCCCAAATGCCCTTCTCAGCCAGGGAGCTCACAGGGAGGACTGTTTTGAGAGCCCAGAAGAAGACAGACCCAGATGGCCTACTAAGGCAGCTAGAAAGACCCATTACTGTTCCCTGAGAACAGACCTCCAATGGGACATGTCCCAAGAGGAGGATAGTGTGATTGTGGAATGGGAGGAGGGAGAGTTCTTTTCAGACGAGGAGGAGGAGATGGGGTTCCAGAACCCTCCATGAGATTTTTCAAACCTGAGGATTATTCGTATTTTCTTAAGAAAACCATGTCCCGCCTGAGGCTGACTCAGCGGATGGTTCCAGACCCAGGGGCAGCAAGGACTATTTCCCCAGAGCCCCCGGTTTTGAAAAAAAAATTCCCTTCCCCGAGTTCCTGGAAAAACAACTAGTCAAAGAATGGGCCACGCCCATGGCTAACAAAAGCTGCCCGGCTAATATTAGGAAATTATACGCGTTGCCTAATTTCACTGATAAGCTCTTACAGGTCCCCCTGGTGGATGCCCCAGTTACAGCACTCCAGACTTCGGGACTGCTATCCGAAGATGGCAAAGGCATGGTAAGAGACACCCTAGATAGGAAAGCTGAGTTTGCCTTACGCAAAGCCCATGAGGCCACGGTTCTGGCCATTAAGGCAACTGCTACAGCTACAGTGGTGGCCAGGGCTTCCATTGCCTGGTCTACAAAGATGTCTCAATTGATCTCTAGCAAGCGTTTGGCCGAGGGAGCAAACAGGCTTCTCCAGGCCGCTTCTTTTTCCGCAGATGCCACACTCGATGCCATGATCTTCTCATCTCCGGCACTGGCCTCCACAGTGGCGGCAAGAAGGACCTTATGGCTTAGGACCTGGCAAGCGGATCTGCACGCGAAGGGCATTGTTGCGGCCTATCCTTTCCAGGGGGACCGTCTATTCAGCGATGCCCTAGACAAAATTCTTGTAGAGACAAAAGACAAGAAGACGACAATGCCATGTTCGCTTGGCAGAACTAACAGGAGGGGTTCTGGTAATTTTTCCTTTCGCGGTTTTCGATTTTCATACAGATTGAACAGAAATGGAAGACACCCTTCATGGGGAACTTCCAGACAGACCTTCAGATGCAACCCCTTCCATAACAGATCAAGCAACTCATTTCACCCTGGGACGATAAGTCAGGGAGGGGCAACAAGGCCCCCAACGCATGACTATGCAGCTGCGCCGGTGGGGGGGCGTCTGCTTTTATTCCACCAGACTTGGGCCGACTCCAAAGCAGACGCCTGGTCCCAGAAGGTCACAGAGAAGGGATATTCCATCGAATTCCTAAATATCCCTCCTGACCATCTTGTTCTCTCTCCTCTGATAAAGGATCATCTCAAACTACAAAGGACCATAGATGCGGGGCAACATCTCTCCAGCATCCTTGCCATCAAACTTTGGCCACAAAGACCAAAGGGGGCAAGGTGCAACATCTCTCCAGCATCCTTGCCATCGAACTTTGGCCACGAAGACCAAAGGGGGCAAGGTGTTTATTCCATCTTTTTCACCGTGTCCAAGAGGAACGGAAGCTGGAGGGCCATTATGGACTTAAAGTTCTTGAACAAGTTTGTACGACTGAGATGCTTCAGTATGGAAACTCTCCGCTCAATAGCAGAGGCCCTCCAACATCAATCAATCTTCAGGAGGCATATCTTCACGTTCCAATTGTGGAAAGTCATCGCCATTTTCTAAGATTTTGCGTTCAAGGTCAGCACTGGCAATTCAGGGCCCTACCTTTCCACTGCTCCCAGAGTTTTTTTCCAAGATATTAATCCACCCTATAGTTTTACTGAGAGAACAAGGGGTACATGTCCACCCGTATCTTGATGACCTCCTGATCCGCTCAACATCTCACTCCAAGTCTGTCCAGGATACAACTGCTCCCCTACAGTGCCTCCGGTCGCACGTCTTCCTGGTGATCCTCCAAAAGAGTCACCGAGGTCCTACTCAGACCATAGAGCACCTGGGAGTTCTCCTGGATACGACACAGAACAAAATGTTTCTTCCAAGACCCAAGGCGGAATCGATCAGCAGTCTCTGCAGACAGATCACTTGAAGCAGAAGGTCCTCCCTCATGACTCTGGCCAGACTAATGGGCCTCTTTGTCTCCTACATAGACACGATCCCCTGGGCTCGCCTCCACTCAAGACCATTACAACATCTTCTCAAGCCTTTTCAACTAAAGATCATGCACAGGGAAGATGTTACCATCGAGATTACTGCGTTTGTCAGGTCCGCCTCTCCTGGTGGACCAAGCTATCGAATTTACTAAAGGGGCTCACCAATTATGTGATGGACTGGAAACGGGTGGTCACAGATGCCAGCCTTTCAGGCTGTGGTGCAGTTCATCTCAACATCCTGACGCATGGCCGCTGGTCCAAGCTGGAATGTACACTTCCGATAAATGTTTTGGAATTGTGGGCGGTCAGATTGGCTCTGCTACACTTCCATCCTCACATTTCGGGTGTCCATGTGTTAGTCAGGACAGACAACATTGCAACCAAATCATACATAAATCACCAAGGGGGCTCCAAATCCTCTCACCTGTGACTGAAGGCGTCGAGACTCTTCCTACGGGCAGAGAACAACCTTGCCTCCATCAAGGCAGAACACATCAAGGGGACCACGAACATTTAGGCCGACTGGCTCAGCTACTGGCAGATTCAAGAAGCGGAGTGGTCCCTGAATCGGGACCTGTTCCTGTCCATAACGCAGATCTTTGACCATCCGGACGTCAACCTATTTGCTTCTCCAATCAACTTCCAAGTGGAGAGGTACTTCACCAGGTTCCATCACCATGGTGCGGAAGCAACGGATGCCTTGATGTCTCCCTGGCCTCCGGACTTGATGTTTGCGTTCCCACCCATTCCAGTCATTCTACGATTCCTCAGGAAGCTGAAGGAACAGAGAGTGGAGGCCATCCTGGTGGCTCCCTATTGCTCACGAAGACCCTGGTTTTTGTAGATTCAGTGCCTGTCAATCCTCCCACACCTCACCCTCCCTGTCTCCCCCGATATGCTGTCGCAGGGACATATTGGGCATCCAATCCCGGATGGTTACATTTGACCATCTGGCGGTTGAGCAGGAAGACCTCTTTAGGCTAAGCTATTCGGAGAAGGTGATCAACACCATTCTGGCATCCCAGAAACAATCTACATGCCGTATCTATAATACCACTTGGAAGGCCTTCGTCCGGTGGGCAAGAAGGAAATCAATAGACCCGCTAAAGCCTTGTGTCAAAAATATTCTTACCTTTCTCCAAGATAGACATGACTCCGGACTCCGGGCGTCTACCCTAAGGAGACAAGTCGCGGCCTTGTCTACAGTGTTCCCTTGCTTGGGAGGTTGGACTCTCTCTAGGCACCCTCACGTCAAACGATTCCTGAAGGGGGCATCATCCCACGATCTGCCTGTAGCTCACAGATTCCCTTCCTGGAGATTGAATGTGGTCCTGGAAGTGTTGACCAAACCTCCTTTCGAACCGATTAAAGAGATTTCGCTCAAGTGGCTTCGTATGAAGACACTGTTTCTAGTGGCAGTGACCTCTGCCCGACGAGTTTCCAAATTGGGGGTGCTCTCAGCTAATCCCCGACTTTGCGTATTCCACAAGGACAAAGTTGTGTTGATACCTGACCCTACTTTTCACCCCAAGGTCAATTCCAGATTCCATAGGTCCCAGGAGATCTGCCTCCCATCCTTTTGTCCAAATCCTTCTCATGCCCAAGAGCGAGTCTGGCATTCCCTGGATGTTCGACAGGCGTT